ACCCACCCCCCCCCCCCCATCTTATTTTCACTACTGAATTGTAAATGCAGATAGTTGGGCAGCCATTTTAATGTAGGTTTCTTCCATGTGGCTATGTATCAACCTTTTTGGCCAAATGCTTTTATTTTTCTTAGAAATTTCCATAACCAAAAGAAAAAGAAAAGAAAAAGAAATCAATTGTGTCATATTACTGTTCCATTAATGGTAACTGTTGTAGTTATGTATCTGTATTGCAACTGGCCATGTATGATATACTAGATTAATTCTGAATCCTGGTTAAATTGTTGCAGAAGCCCTCTTGCGTCTGTTTAACGTATTGCGTGTTTGTGTTTGTATGCGTTTGGATCCATTTTGCATCCCGTCCTTCCATCCTTTTGAAATTTATGTCAAGTTTGATGATCAATTCTGGGAAGAAGATATTGTGCAATTCTCTGAGCATCACAGGATGTCTTCGTGATTTTCCGTTTAGTGATTTCGATTGCCTTCTCAAAATTATAAAATGAAGTCGTCTAAAGCAAACTGATCGATCAATATTTGATATAAGGTGGATCTTTGAAAATTAGACGTGGTTTAGTTTACCAGTATTCCAAAAGTTATAAATGATGAATTGCTTATGCTTGTCAATTCCTTCTTGTTTGTATCTTAATCCAGCTTATTGGTGCATCATAAACATTTTTTGGAAACTCTTAGACAGCATAGATTGCCGGCACAACATTTTTATGAAAATAAATTTGTTATGGGTTTTACTAATAAATGCTTTAAACAGCACCCTTATTTAAAAACAATAAATGGAAAATATTTACAAGAAAATAGTGTTCAATATATCTGGAATTTTTTTATTTATTAAATTTTATACAATTGTCTTGAAGGCACTAGTTAACATTTACCTTAATGGTTAAATTGCCTTGCAAGAGTCTGTTAAAAAATGTTGGACATACAGTTTCTTCTTTTATGGAGGACCAGGGCATATGAATGTGACCCTATGAAGATGTTTCCATTTATTCAAGCAACTCAGAATAGCTGGAGTTCGTAATGAAAACTTCCAAATGAACCAAGTTCATCCAATCACACAATTCACCAATGATTCATTCGGTTTTCTTACTTTTATTTACCCACTAGTTAACTTAACTACTTCTTAACATCAACTTAATTAATAATTTATCAAGCACCAACTCTGGCATCTGACACATGACTAAATACTATCGTGCACACCTGGACACACTGTTACACGGCAGACACTAACACACACCTTGACATGATTAAAGTCTAAAACATAGGACCCCTTTTATGCTTGCTTGTTGTATCCCAAGTCTTCATGGAAATATGGTTTAGCAACCACATGAAGATGTTCTCTCCTGTGCATTGAGATACCGAAGACTTCAGTGAGGTCCAAGTCTTTGGGGGTTATACCAGGAGGAAACTCCCAATCAAAACTGTAGAGGAGTTGAGCCAGAGCAAGCTCAACAGTTGTAATGGCAAAAGTAATACCTGGACAACCTCTTCTACCTGCCCCAAACGGTATTAGCTCAAAATCCTGCCCTCTGTAGTCAATATCGCTCCCTAAAAACCTCTCTGGTTTAAATGCATTAGGATCTGCCCAACTTTCTGGGTCCCTACCTATTGCCCAAGCATTCACAAAAAATCTCGTTTTAGCTGGAATTCTATACCCCTCTATCACAGCATCTTCCATGGATTCCCTGGGGAGTAGCACTGGAACTGCAGGATGAAACCGAAATATCTCTTTGATAATAGCTCTCATGTACTCCAGCTGATGCAGATCACTCTCTCCAACAACTCTTCTCTCTCCCAAGATGCTCCGAACTTCCTTTTGTGCCTTTTCCATCACCTGTGGATTCATTAGCAGCTCCGTCATTGCCCAATCAAGAGTTATGAAGGTTGTATCAGTTCCTGCAGCAAACATGTCCTGCATTAACATTTAACACAAAGGGTTGTCAATTGTCATTAGGACTTGATTGCTCTTCATAGATTCTTTCAGATAAGAAAATAGAAAAAAAAAAAAATTTCCATATATTAAAATTAACTTTAAGTTAAGGTTTTAAATTGCAATAGACAACTACAATTGCCACCGCAACGTAAAGATTTTTTTTGACTCAACACAAGTGCATTGCGGCTGCATCAGTCCTGTTTGCTGCAATGTCAAGAATTACTCTGCAAACCATAATTGTGATCGTGTGTGAGGTATAAGTTAAAAATAAGTTTTTGAAAAATCTAATATAAAAAACTATTGTGATCCGGGGATCACCACACACATATCTTCACATTGGGAAGATATTGTTCACTTTATATTTAAGCTTTCACAATTTTGTTTTTGAATATCATTCAAAAAGTCTTTCTATCAATGAAGAGAATCGTATTTATATAAGTTCTTGTTCATCTTCTTATTTGAATGATATATGACTTTGCTTGTATCTCAACAAAACTATTACCAATTAACTAATCCATAAGATAATATGATGGAGCTTTCATAGATTAACTTACACGTAAAGTAATAAAACGTGGTAATTATGGAGTTAAAACTTAAAGGGATAAACTGTAAACGAACTAAAACAAGAGTTTTTCCCAAACCAACACAAGTTTTCACTAACCAAGATGATTGCCTTGATATTATCAGTGGTGAGAGGCATCTCGTGGGAGCCATTCTTCTGCACCTCGAGTAAAACATCAACAAGGTCCTTATGCTCCTCCACATTATTTGCACTCATGTGCTCATTCAGTATCTGATCAAAGAGTTGATCAAATCTTCGAGAAGTGTCTTGGAGTCTTGACTTCATACTCGTCAAGCTGTGCAAGAACTCCAAGGAAGGAAAGAAGTCACCAACACTGAATCCTCCAAGGAGTTCCTGATACTCATCAAGCATCTTTTGGAACCCATGTCGTTGATAGTCTCCTCCTTCTGAAAACTCCCTTCCAAATGCCACTCGGCAAAGGATATCATTTGCATACAGCCCCAGCATCTTAGACAAATCGGTGGTTCCAGGATAAGACCCTTTGACCCTGTGAACTAGACGAGCAACTTCTTCTTCTCTAACACATTTGTAAGATTGTACCCTTCTAGCACTTAGAAGCTCAAGTATGCAAATTTTCCTGATGTGCCTCCAGTAATCACCGTAAGGAGAGAAAGCAATGTCTGTGCAGTTGTAGAAGAGGTATTTGGCTGAGAAGAGTTGTGGACGGCTAGAAAGTGCAAGATCATGGGTTTTCAACACTTCCTTTGCTAGTCTTGCTGAGGACACAACCACCGTTGGGATTTGACCAAGTTGTAGGAAAATTATGGGACCATACTTTTGTGCTAGTGTTTGAAGAGCTAGGTGGGGTGAGGAGGAGCCAACCTGGTGGAGGTTGCCAATAATGGGTATGATAGGAGGACTTGGAGGGAGATTGGACCTTCTCTTTCTTGACTTGTCTATAAAGAGGAACTTCATCAATAGGACTATGAAAATGGATACAAAGACGAAGAGCATAGCCATTTGATAAATCGAGGAGAGTTCAAGAGATGCAACCACTGTTGTCAAGTCTGTATCATACCCTTCTAGGCAATCTTTTTTATCTACCAAATTATTATTTAGGCAAAGCTTAAATCCAAATTTTAGTGTTAGATTTTTTTTTTTTTATCAGGCAATCACATTCTGTTTTGATAAAGATATACATTTTTTGTGGTTTTCTTTCTCTGTTTAGTTTCCACTCAAAGACTAGCTTGTGGCGGTGACAAGCACCGATTGCACATCACCATCATCCCGTATCTTAAGTCAGAACTTGGCTGGTACTCCTTTGGAATCTACCTCGGAGTTTAACAATCAATAGTACCAAATTATTTACGTGATTTTTGTTATATATATATATATATATATATTGAACCACTCAAGTGTAGAGCCTTTATATATCAAAGTGCTCCTAACATTCTCAAAGGCGCAAGCAAAGAGTGGTGGGCTCGCCCATTTAAGAATGAGCCTTGTAAACTTGTTATAGTTCAAATATGCAATTTTCTCTCCTGCGTGCAAAAATGGGATATGAAAATATTTTTATTTTAATTAATTAAGGAAACCTTATCCGAAAATGATCGTTTTCATGTTTCAAATTCAGATTTGATTTGGTTTTTAAAATTGCATCTTACCGTTACAAAATCTTTTATTTTATTCTCTAAACGGTTATATTCAGATTAATTTCATTCCTTAATTATCGGATGGTTTTAGGGATTTTGAGACTCTATAAATAGAGGCCTCTGACACACTGTTTAATCATCCCGAAAAAAATCTTTCTTTCTTCCTTCTCTAAGTTCTCAATTTTTTCGATTGCTAGTTCAGCTCCTCAAATCCTTAAGATGACTCTGTTGTATTCAAGGGGGCTTGCGTGTATCCCGCGGATAAGTCCTTAAGGTCAGTGTCATCACATGCCTCAGGAAGATTTTGCTAATATGTTTGTTCAGTGTTTCAGGTTACTCATAGGTGCGTCCGCCATATTTTCTACAACAATCTTAAGGACTTCTTATGGCTGACGCTTCGAACACTGCTACCCCTGCTGTCGTCCCTCCACCCACGACGGCCACCACGTATGCAAAGACTTTACCTGATGTCTCCAAAGTCGAAGTCTTTTCTGGCCAAAATTTCCGCTGGTGACAGGAACGTACCCATTCCATACTAGACATGCATGGTGTTGCTTATGCTTTTACTGTTTCAAAGCCAGATTCCTCTACCTCAGCACCCGCTTCTAAATTAGATGATTGGTCTCAGGCCAACAAGGTTTGCCGTCATACTATTCTTAGTGCTTTATCCAACGATCTCTTTGATGTGTACTGCTCATACAAGGAAGCCAAAGATATATGGGACTCTATGATAATGAAGTACACTATGGAGGACTCTGTTAGACAACACTTCATCATAGGTAACTACTATCGTTGGGAAATGAATGAAGAAAAGGACATTAAAGTGCAAATAAATGAATACCATAAACTACTAGGGGACCTCAAATTAGAAAGCCTTTCTCTACCTGATGAATTTGTTTCGGAGCTGCTCATTGAAAAATTACCAGAAAGTTGGATTGACTACAAGCAACACTTAAAGCATAGGCATAAACAAACGTTACTCACAGATCTAATCACCCACATCATAATAGAGGATGCAAGTGTGCTGCGGCAAAGACAAAATCATTGGCAGCAAAGGCAAATGTGGTACAAGTGCAGGACCAACCCAATAAAAAGAGGTATGATCAAAAGAAAAATAAGTAGAATTCTAAGAACTCTTACCCTCATGCTACTAACCCCGCCTTTAAGAAAAAAAGGCAATTGCTTTGTTTGTGGAAAGCCAGGGCACCATGCACCTCAGTGCTGTTTTTGAGCAACGAGAAACGACAACCTTCTTAAGGCTAAGGTTAACCTGGCTGAAGGGATGATATTAATTCTGCGATCATTTCTCAGGTAAATATTGTGACCAATGTAAGCAAATGGGTGGTAGACTCTAGGGCTACTTGCCACATATGTGCAAGCAGAGATGCTTTTTCCCCCTACACTACTGTGGGGATGGAGAAGAGCAAATGTACCTTGGTGATTCTAGGACCACTCTAGTTCTAAGAAAGGGCAAAGTTCTTTTAAAACTTACATCTGGTAAAACGCTGGCTTTAACTCATGTGCTACATGTTCCTTCCATCAGAGTCAACTTGGTTTCTTTAGCACTGTTAGGTAGGGATGGCAATGGGACAGGTCGGGTACGGGTTTCATAATACCCGTCCCCGTCCTCGCGAGTTAAACCCATCCCCGTCCCCGTACTCGTCGGGTATGTGAATTTTATCCCCATCCCCGTTCCCGTCAGGTATCGGGTATACCCGTACCCGTACCCGTCAATTTTTTTTTAATTTTTTTTTTAATTTTTTTATAAAAAATATGATATTTTTAAATTATTTTTTTATTATATTATAATTATAATTAAGTTATTTCTCTATCTCATATTATAATAAATAATCACACATAAAAAAAATATTAAATTTTTTTAATATAATTAAATTGAAAGTGGGTATTAAATTAAAAATGGAAATAGGGACGGATACGGGTACGGGTACGGGGTGGGTAAGTACATACCCGTACCCGTACCCGATTTAAAGTAACGGGTTTTACTCGTACCCGGTCAAACCAGATATTCCCCGTCAAAGTCGGGACGGGTTCGGGTATTACCCGCGGGTACAGGTATATTTGTAATTCCTACTGTTAGGCAAAGTGGGGGTTAAAGTATCATTTGAATCTGATAAAATAATTATGACCAAGAATAATGTTTTTGTGGGTAAGGAAAGTGAAATTGCATCTCCTTTTGCTTATATGATTGACTCTTATGGTATGTGGCATGCTAGATTAGGACATGCAAATTTCGCATATGTTTTCAAATTGAAACGACTAGGTATGATTAACATGCATGATGAACAAATTGGTAAGTGTGAAATATGTGTTGAATCAAAGCTTATTAACAAAACATGTCATTCTGTGTTTCGTGAATTTGAACCGCTTAGTTTAATTCATTATGATCTTGCTGATTTAAAACAAATCATGTCTAGAGGTGGTAAGAACTATTTTTTGACTTTTATTGATGATTTTTCTAGATACACAAAAGTTTACTTGATTAGACATAAAGATGAGACATTTGACATGTTTTTATCCTATAAAGCGAAAGTTGAAAGTCAGTTGAATAAAAGGATTAAAAGGATTAAATCTAATAAGGGTGGTGAATACATGTTATTTAAGGTCCGTTCTACTGCACTCGTGGTGTGTTAATTTTGCATCTGGAACGGTTCTAGATGCAAAATTAACACATAACATGTGCAATCAAAACGAGCTGTTATGGTTTCAGAACTGGCCGTTCTGATTTCAAAACAGGTTGTTCTAGTTCCAGGTGCATTAAAAAAATTTGGCATCCACCTATGCATCTATGTGGCATCTACGTGACCAATAATTAACTTCGTTTAAATAATTTGGACGAAAGCCCAACATTGCACTAATTTAAATTATTAGGGACCAAATTGAAACAAAAAATTAAAGTGGGACTAAATTGAAACAAAAAAATATTATAAGGGACCAAATTAGGGATTTAACCTTAATTAATTAAGGAAACCTTATCCAAAAATGACCATTTTTCATGTTTCAAATTCATATTTGATTCGGTCTTTAAAATTGCATCTTACCATTACAAAATCTTTTATTTTATTCTCTAAACGGTCATATTCGAATTAATTTCATTCCTTAACTATCAGATGGTTTTAGGGTTTTTGAGACTTTATAAATAGAGGCCTCCGGCACATTGTTTAATCATCTTGAAAAAAACCTTTCTCTCTTCCTTTTCTGAGCTCAATTTTTTCGATTGCTAGTTCTGTTCCTCAAATCCTTGAGATGACCCTGTTGTATCCTGGGGGGCTTGCGCGTATCCCGCGGATAAGTCTTTAAGGTCACACGCCTCAGGGAGATTTTGCTAACGTGTTTGTTCAGTGTTTCAGGTTACTCATATGTGTGTCTACCATATTTTCTACAACAATTTTATTGTGGATCTTGTCACCGCAAGTAAACTAGATATATGGACCTGAAGTCAACACAAGCATGTTTTCACTCTTCATGTTAATAGTGAGGTGGTGCTTGAAAACAATGAGTTCTTGCAACTAAAATATTTCACATACTAAAAATATTTTCTAAGCTATTGTTCCAATAAATGTAAAAAACAAGTAGTTTAACTAAAAAAAAAGTCATGTAATAAAAAAATATTTTTTAAAAAATATTATTAAATAAAATAAAAATAATTAAATTTTATTTATATTTAATTTTTTTTACTTATAATACAGAGACATTTTAGTTTATACTAAATATTTATTATATATAATTAAGTTTTATAATAAATTTTTAAGATAAATAATTTATATTTTAATTATTTATAATATTTTTAAAAAATATTAAATTTTAATTATAAAATATGATAAATAAAAAATTAAAATTGATATAAAGTTAAAGAAATTTTTAACAATGCTCCTAATAGAAAATAATCTCAAAAGCATTTATATATAAAATAATGATTTGTATTTAATATATAAATTAATTAAAAATTATTTTATAAATAAAACCCTTATTTATAATTATTAGATCAATATATCGATGAAAATTAAGATAATATAAACGATATCTTAAATTCCAATCTTATCATCATTTTTATAAATTAAAAGATCATTGTCATATATCTGGACATTAGATACTTTTACACCTATCATTTGTTCTATCTTTTTATACAGATTTAATCATCTTTTTATTCTTTATATTTTCATAAATTTTACTTTTCGTTATTATAGTTAAAAACATTTTATTTAATTTATGTAATGTCAGTTTTTTTTTAATCTGTCATTTTTTATATATGAACTAAAAGATATACGTATCTATAAGAACAAAAATGTAGAATTTATATAATTACAAAATAAAAATAAATTATATATATATATATATTATATGTGTAAATTAAAATATTATATTTTGATACTAAAATAAAAAATTCATGAATTTATAAAGACATAAAGAAAAAATTAGTTGAATGTGTTCCGACATGCCTAAAAGTCTCACATCGCTTAGGAGTCGAGAATGGTAGTTTATAAACACTCTCCCTCCTTAACCCACTGAGGC